AAAATACTGGACATTCTGACAGAAGTGATCAGAAAGCCACCCTTTAAAACATGGTTAATGGGGTTCTTTAAAAAAAAACAAAAAACAAGAGTCCTTACATTTTTGAGAAACCAACTGAAATACTAACATGACTACTATGCTATGCAGTCTGACTTTGCTTTACCAAGAATCCAGTCAGGCTGTAGATAAGCGTTAGTGCTACAGGTGAAACCACAGGGGATGAGAGGTGGTAACTGTTAAAGTTGGGTCACAGGTATAGGAGGGGGCTCATTATGCTAGTCTCCTTTTGTATACAGCTTTGGTATTTTCTGTAATTTTTTTAAGTCAATCAAATAGGGGCTATTTCCAACAGAGTGGAAAGGATGATCAAAGGGAGGAAGACACGTGGAAGAATACTGTTGTCACTGTTAAGTGCCTCAGAGGCAGTTTGGACTCATAGCAACCCTGTAGAGGGTTTCCGAAGCTTTTAAAATCTTTTCAGGAGACAAAAGCCTTATTTTCTCCCATGGAGTGGCTGGTAGACTCAAACCGCCAACCTTGTGGTTCATAGTCCAGTACTTATCCTACAGAGCAAGGAAAAAGCAAGAGTAGAGAGTGGAGGGAGCACCCATTCAAACCAAGCAAGGCAGCAGTCAAAGACGCCCTGCAGTCGTGTTAGTCTTCTGAACAAGCGCAAATCTTTGGGTGACGGGGCACATCTGGATATTCTGAATTGTAAGAATAAAGAATAAAATGTTTGCCTCTGCACAAATAGAACATTCTGGTGACTGGTGAAAGATGATTTGAGGGGACTGAGAGGGAAGGAAATTAGAAAACTACTAGACACATCCTCGTAAGTGACTACGGATCTGGACAAAGATGATACTAGAGAGGGAGACAAGGACATGGAGTGAGAAATACTTTATTAGATATAATTGCTGGAACTCAGTGGTTAGTTACATGTGAGAGAAGAGGAAAAGGAAAGATGATTCCAGGCTTCCGTTTTGGTTAACCGTACAGCACTTCCATGAACCAAGAGAAAGCATATGCAATTAGTAATCATTACCTACTTGTGTTTTGAGAACAAAAGATCCTGTTACGAGGCATCATTCCAGGCTGTTAACTGTATGACACATCTCACGTTATAATACAATTACATCCCTCTCTTCAGAAGCCTTTTTTCCATAGGTTCCTCCTTTGCACGCTTTACAGAATTGTAGGAGATAAAAGCTGGGAGGGGGTTTTAGGCGATATTGTTGTTGTGGTTGTTAAGTGCCGTTGAGTCGGTTCCGACCCATAGCGACCCTGTACAGGGTTTCTGAGGCTGTAAATCTTTACGGGAGCAGAACGCCTTATCTTTCTCCCGAGGAGCGGCTGGTAGTTTCAAACTGCTGGCCTTAAGGTTCGCAGTCCGATTCGTAACCACTACGCTACCAGAGCTAGGCGATATACTGGCTTATAAGTAGGGTTGATAAGATCGAAACCAACAGTTCAAATCCACCAGTTGCTCAGTGGGAGAAAGAGGAAGGCTTTCTGCTCCCACTAAGATTTATAGCTTCAGAAACCCTACATACAATCACTCTGAGTTGCTAAATATCCCCTTGGTAACAATAGGTAGCCTTGTACGGTGGGAGGTCAGGTCTAGAAATAGTCATGAGCTTGTCTAAAATCCAAATTGCCATTCTAATATGTTGAGACTGTTGTAACTTCAAAACTGCCCGAACTTCAAATGAGAACTAGCAGTCAACCACACACATAAACATGAATTTCTACAGTTTGGTTGCCAAACTTTTCCTTTACTAGTTAAATATTGATTGTGCCATTTTTTTTTTTTTTGGCAAATTACTTTCTTAATTCTCTCTAATGTTTCCTTCTCTATCTTCTGAATGATACTTTGAAAAGGTCACCTGAAAAAGACATTCTTGTCCAATTAAGTAGCTTTTCTTAGTCCTCATACATTTTTCATTTGACTTTCTATGAGAATGAATTCTATTTGCTGCACCCTTTCTTTACTGATTTAACTGTGTTCCTAAAATGTGTTGGAATTCTAAGCCATGGATCTAGAGATGTAATCCCATTTGTTAACGGGTTTATTTGTTATGTCAATGAAGTCTTATTAGTATTGTTGTTAAGTGCCATTGAGTTGGTTCTGACCCATAGCAACCCTATACAGGCTTTCTGAAGAGCGGCTGGTGAACTTGAACTGCCAACCTTGCGGTTCAAACGGACTTTGCAGTCCAGTGCATTAAACCACACAGCCGCACCAGAACTTCTTATGAATGGTGGGTATGTCCTAAGCCTAATCACTGCTGATTATAAGGAACAACATAGATACAGAGATGAAGAAGCACAAACTGGGGAGAGTGAGTACCGCATGAGAACCACCAAGGAACAGAGGACTGCAGAAAGACATGGGTCTATCCTCAGAGCTGACAGAGAACCTTCCTCTAGAGTTGGTGCCCCATATTTAGGATTTCTAGGCTTCTGAAAAGTGAAGAGGACTTGAAACGTTTACTTATGAAGATCAAAGAGCACAGCCTTCGATAATGGATTACATCTCAATGTCAAGAAAACAAAAATCCTCACCACTGGACCAATAAACACCATTCTTATCAAAGAAGAAAAGATTGAAGTTGTCAAGGACTTCATTCTTCTTGGATCAACTATCAACACTCACAGAGGCAGCAGTCAAGAGATCAGACGACGTATTGCATTGGGAAAATCTGCTGCACAGGAACTTTTTAAAGTATTGAAGAGCAGAGATGTCAGCTTGAGGACTAAGGTGCGCCTGACCCAGGCCATGGTGTTTTCAATAACCTCATATGGATGTGAAAGCTGGACAGTGAATAAGGAAGATCGTAGAAGAATTGATGCCTTTGAATTGTGGTGTTGGAGGAGAATACTGAAAGTGTCATGGACTGCCAAAAGAACCAATAGATCTGTTTTGGAATAAGTGAGCCAGAGTGCTCCTTGGAGGCCAGGATGGCTAAGCTTCGTCTCCATACTTTGGACATATTGTCCGGAGGAAACAGTCGCTGGAGAAGGATGTCATGCTGGGTAAGGTGGAGGGTCAGAGAAAAAGAGGAAGACCCCTATCGAGATGGATTGGCCAGGTGGCATCATTGATGGACTCAAGTGTGGCAGCAGTAGTGAGGTTGGCCCAGGATCGGACATTGTTTCGTTCTGCTGTGCATGGGGTCGCTATGAGTCGGTTCTGACTTGATGGCACCTGACAACAACAACAACAACAACCAGACTTCTGAACTATGAGAGCATATATATATATATAAATTTATTTTCCTTCTTCTTCTTCTTTTTTTTTTTTTTAAAATACATTCATTTGTAGTATTTCTGTTATATCAGCACTACAAAACTAAGACTCCTTCTTTAAGCTCTTAACCTCTTTGGTCTCTGTAACAATGACCCTGTCTGTTTCTACTTCTTCCACTGTTCATTAATTTCACCCCTTGACCATCCATCCAGCAAGTCCCCTTTTCACTAGTAGATTTCCAAGCTTCTGCAATGAGTCCAACCAGCCGTCTTCTCCCTTCATTTGAGTGCTCTGGGGTCAGTCATTCTCACATCACCCCCAAGTTCTTCTGTGTTCACACCCAGGCTTGACAGCAGTTCAGGAGAAGAAGCTTTGAGAACATCAAAAGTGTCATGCACTCATTCCCTGACTGCATTCAAGACACATGGTGCCTTTCAAAGAGAAGTAATACACACTCCCCATGGGCTCATGACTAGGTTGGCCCAAGAGTTAAACAGGACATTGACAAATGAGAGAATGTTCTGAAAAGAGCAGTAACGTTGGTAATGGATCTAAAAACAACAATGCTAAAAACAAAGCATGAAAAACCATTGAAAAGGCTAAGAATGATGAGTTTGGGAAAGACAATATTTTTGGGACTCATGACAGCTTTATTTAAATTTGTGAAAATTTGCCACCTGGAATAGGGCATTTGTTGTTGTTTCAATGTGCAGAAATTAGCAGAAGGTATATTTTGACAGAAAAAGAGGAAAACAAAATCTCAAATAACCTAAGTTATTCAACATAAGTCAAGGAACTCTGTCCCTTGCTGAAAGTGTTGAAGAAGAAATGATGGTTTTGAGAGGCATGTTGGCCGTATTATCTCTAAGATTCCTTTTCCTCTAGTGTTCTGTGAATTGCTCCTTTGTAGACAGCCTGTCGGCGCCACAGACTTAACAGGAATGACACGGGGAAAAGCTGTCCTGTCTAATTACTACAGACTGCCATTGGTGGTAGAGTTCCTACAGACTCCTGGACTAGAAATTTCAGAGCACCTTTGATTCCTTCCTTCTCTTTAGCCCCTACATCTCTGTCTCCAGAAGGCTTCTTTGACTTGCTCTTGATTCTTAATTCCCACGGGTACTTTCACAAAGACTTGTCAAATTACAAGTGGATTGCAGTCATTGAATCTGTGAGTTGGAATGGACCCCGAAGAGATCAAGCTCCACTTGCTCATTTTGTAGGTACAGAAAATGGGACATAGAAAAGTTAAAGACTTGTCTAAAGTGATACAGACAGTAGTGGTGGGTGTAGGTTCCACGCTCTCTCCACTGCCCTGTATCACAATGGCTCTGGGATTCATCCTTAGGGTCACTCAGTTCACCTAATGCATTTCAACATAACTGGTTTTATAGAGCTTGGCCATGACTTAACCATGGGGCGATTGTTTAATTTGTACAATGGTGTGATGGTCCTTGGACAAACCATATGTGTTAATCTAGGAATAATCCCCAATCTCTTAAGAAACCACTAAGTCTGCTTTGAGTTAAATAATACGGTTCTTTTCTGTGCTTCTCACAGATACTGCCAAAGTAGGACTGCTGAATTGTGAAATAAAGAAGAAGTCTAGCCAGCTCAAGCTCTCTAGAGTCTGAAAATCCAGGTCATTTGGATACTAAATGTATCACTGGACTCCAATGAGTACAAAAATGACATCTATCATGTTAACTGGCTATGCCCTGGTTACTCCCATAAAAGGTCCTGGACTCACGTTGGTTCTTCTGTTGCTATTCTGGTCTCTTCAAGTTCCTGTGCTTGTTTTAACCAAGGTAATTTAGCTTCCACTGGACCTTTTTCTAAGAAGAAAAAAGGAACATAAGCAACAAGCATAATTATTGTTTATTATTACGGAGTTCGATACATGGTTATTCAATGAAGATTTCATTAATAGAGGTAACATTGTTCAAGTGCAAATTGAGTCCTTTAGCATAGTACATTAGGTAGCTTCTAGATTAAACCAAATAGTTCTGCCATGATTTTTAATGAACAGATTTTCAAAATGCAATCCAAACAATTCCATGGTATTGTCAAATGTACTCCCCGAGTTAACATTAAAATGCCTTTTATAAATCAATACTAAACTCTGTTGTTTACACATTTAAGTTATATTTCAGTCATATCAGCTTGTTTTATTTTGCCACAAATTCTTCTTGTCTATTGAATAAAGGAATTAATGGAGAATAGCAAATAACATGGAGACTTAGGAAGTTGGGAAGAGGAGAGAATAGATCCTACTGCTCACTCACACCTTGATGATTGTTCATAGCTGTTGAGAAAGACGATCACTAATTACAACTAGCAAGTAAGAGTAAGATAGTGTTCCTTTCTTTCCTTTGAAAGTTCCTTAGATTTGAAGAAAAACAAAATCTAGTTATGAAGTGAAAAGGGAAATGGTGTTGATACGCTTCAGGGAAATCATACACACACTAAGAAGGTGGCTCTGAAAATTCCACTGAATGCAGAAGGGAGGAAAGGAGCCCTCACTATGGCTTCCTGGAGGTGGCACAATGTTTGTATGCTAATCAAAAAGTTGGCACATTGAACCCACACAGAAGCTCCACAGGAGAAAGATGTGGTGACCACAGCTCAGGAAACCCTCTGGGGCAGTTCTGCACTGTCATATAGGGTCACTAAGAGTAAAAATCAAGGAGACTGTCACAACTGTAAAGGTAGAAGTTTTGTAACAAAAAGGGGAGAGTATTTAATCTTACAGCCCAGTAACAGAGGACCCTAGGACCATCAAGGGAGAAGAGCATAAGTGGAGTGTGGGACCCTATCCAGAGAACCAGTGACACCAGAGATGGAGGCAGAGATGATGACATGGAGAGATACAGCAGCTGAAGAATATAGACTCGTGGAAAGAGAAAGGCTGTGTGCTGGAAGCCAGGAGGCAGGCTTGCAGAATGTGCCTTTTGGTTGTTTAAATGATTATATATTCCTGAGTGTTTTCGTGTACATCCCCCTCTCCCCCCCAAAAAAAAAACAAAAAATAAAAAACTGAGGGAATAGAAGCAAATGCTATTGAATGATGATGCACGGAGGGGATTGTAATAATTGCAATGCAACGATGGTGCAAAACTGATGTTCTCCCATGTAAACTATTACTCAACTCACAATAAAAACTTAAAAAAAAAAAAAAATCAATGAGAGGGCATCCTGCTAACATGGATTTCCATAATCAGTGTTTGTACACTCCAATGGGGATCTTTGATTTTTCTGGAAGATAGATATAGTCAAAGATTTGTTGAATAATTAATTATAAGGCTATCTGTATGGACAATGAATCCAGATAAAATGAAGGAGAATTATCCTAGTTCCTCTAATGTACTACAGAAGTCTCTTTGAATGGAAAGAATCTTTTTCCATTTCTAAAAACAAACAAACAAACAAAAAACATGAAAGGGCTTCTAAAAAGTTCACGGAAAAACTCTATTTTCTTTCAATTCCATGTTTCCTCAAACTTTTTGAAGTACCCTTGTTATTTAGTAAAAAATATGAAATAATCCTATAGGTCGTTGTTGCTGTATTGTGCCTATGAGTCAGTTCTGACTCATAGTGACCCTATATAGGGTTTCAGAGAGTTGGTCTGAACTGCTGATCTGTGATTAGCAATCTAGTGCTTACCCTACAGTATCTATTCACAAAACTATAAATATTACCCATTTCTTCAAATTCATAAGGACCAACGAGGACCATAAGAGGAATTCTAAATGCATCTGAAGTTCCAGATTGGGAATTGAAAATCTTCATTCATTTCCTGTTAAGCACTAAGACATATGATGAAGATCACATTGTTCTTTCCTCAAGAATTAATAGTCCAGTGTACTAAGTACTGAGAAGCAGAAGAATGAGAAACCTAGGAGAAACTAGACTCTTCCTGCTCTTTCCTCTATTCTTTCTCCTCTCTCTCTCTCTTTTCATGGCAGGGCTTCATCAACATTTTTATGACCACCAAGATATATTGGTAGAAGGCTAGACAGAAGACAGGAGCTGGCCACTATATACTGAGACAACAAGAGCTCAGATTTTTCTCCAGATCAATAAAATCACATAAGCCCAACCTCTCTATCAGATTGACAGGTCTACTCTAATCTACCTTCAAAACTATATTTATAAAAAAGTCATCATTGTTAGGTGCTATCAAGTTGATTTTGACTCACAATGAACCCATGTGAAAGAGTAGAGCTATCCCAAAGCGTTTTCTAGGATGTAATATTTAATATCCCATGTCTTTCTCCTGTGGGTTGCCGGAGGAGGCTGAACAACCAACATTTTGGCTAGCAGCCAAGCATATGACCAAGACTTCTCTATATGAGAGTCAATGAGTAGAAATAGAAGGGTGGCAATATTGGAATGAGAGCTGGAAAACACCATTTGGCTTTGAATTAAAAACACACCACAAAGTTACCTTTTGGTTTATAGCATGGGATAGGGATGATGCATTCTTCTTTGATGTGTAACTTCAATTGTGGATTGCAGCCCCCAACATGTTGTCCTTGGTGGTTGATACACAGAACAACCCGGTAACGCAACCCTCGGCCACAAGTCACTGTGCACTTCAAAGAAAAATAAGGAAGAGTGATAGCCTTTTGCAAGAAAGAATCCACAAGAGTATTAATTTATATGCAAAGAAAAGTCACTGATCCACATGAATATTAAATACAGACGATCTTGGGGTAAATATTACATATGATAGGGAGATGGAACAATTGCCTGTATGCTCAGCCTTCTGGGCCTCTCCCTAGTAAGAGACTCTTTCCTACAGTCAAGTTCCAGAGAACCTAAGAAGAAGCTACAACACAAGATAAACAAATGTCTTGAAACCTTACAGCTCAAATACAAAAGAAATCTGATGCAGGTTTCCCCAAATTTGATTCAAGTTTACCTGACGTGATTAAAAAACATGTGTAAAGATGAAAAAAAAAAAAAAATCTTTCTAGGCTATCTAGGGAAAAAAAATCAAATTTTGATTTACCAGCTAGAGGAACGATATGATTATCTTTCTACTCTGTCTAAAGAAACTGATCTAACAAAAGCATTGTTAAACAAAGAGATCATCAAAAAATACTAAACCAAAATGTGTAGAAAAAAAAAATATAGGTACATTAGCCAATCAAAATTAACATATTACGCTACTTTACAAAATTTTTTCTAAAGTTTTGTAAAGTTTGTACTATCGGTTTTAAAATTTGTAATTTGCTGCAATTTTAAATTTAAAGTAAACATTCACTTTGATATCCAATGTTTATGTTTTGTAGTTTTTTTCTTAAAAAGGCACCCCTAGTAGAATAAACACCAGACCCCACCAATCTGGGTTCTATCCCTGGAAGGAGCCAAGGGTCCTGAGAATTTGCTTCAGGTCAGGCACCGACCTGACCTGTGATCTCCCTAATCCTCCCTCCTCCCTAGTCTGAGCATACTCACCAGTGACCAGCTTCATACCCATTAAACAGAGGAGCAAACATACAGCTTACTACCTAAAGATCTTGCTCAAAGTCACACAGTTCCTAAGGGGTACAGTGTAATTCTATCCAAGAGCTGCCCATTGCCAGATTTGATAGTAGCGTAGTGGTTATGAATCAGGCTGTAAACCACAAGGGTCAGCAGGAGAAAGATGAGGCTTTCTGCTCCCACAAAAAATTACAGCCTCAGAAACCCTGTACAGGGTGGCTATGAATTGGAACCAACTCCACGGCACATAACCACCACCACCACTCTATAGAATCTGACGAATCTCTCCAAAGTCTGTAAATGCTTTCTTTCTATGCTGTTTTAGACAGAGGATACAGAGAATTTTTTGAGTATGCACACCTCTTCAGGAAGGGAAGACTATTGGGATACTTCAACCCTATTTCATCATGTCACTTTGTGACCACTGAACAAATAACTAATAATTTTCGTGAAGTTTGAGATTAGACCTTGTTTCTAGGAAATTAGGCTGTAGGATAAGCACTGGACTGTTAACCACAAGGTTGGTGGTTCAAACCCACCAGGTGCTCCTCAGAAGTCCTATGAGTCACTCTGCGTCAGAACCGACTTGATGACACTTATTAACAACAACTCCAAAATTTATCAATTTGAAGAACGCATATATTAGTTTCTAAGAGGTCAATATTTTATATTGGCCAAGTGTTATGGGATGAGTTGAGTCCCCCAAGTCTTAACTCCTAGTACCTATGAATGTGATCCTGTTTGGAAAAAGAATCTTTGAAGATGTTATCAGTTTAGTTAACAGGAGATTGTACAGGAATAGGGTAGCTCTTAGATAAACTGAGTGGTGTCCTAATAGGAGAGAAGACATACAGAGAGACAGACACGGGGGGTGGGGGTGTACAGGGAAGATGCATCTAGAGCCATGGAAAACCTGGGGCAACCAGAAGCTCGTACAAGAAAGACTGTCTCCCAAGACTTTCAGTGGGAATATGGCCCTGACAACTCTCAAAACTCAGACTACTAGTCTCCTGAATGGTGAAAAATTACATTCATGTTGTTTAAAGTCACCTACCTTGTGGTACTTTGTTACAGCAGCCCTGGGAAATGAATATGGCACTGTCTAGTAGGAAGTGGGATGCTGCGGAAACAAATACCTAAAATGTAGAATTAGATTTGGAACTGGCAATGAGTAGAAGCTGAGGGAAATTTGAGGTGAGAGATTGTAAAAGCCTAGGCTGCTTGAAGAGACTGTTGATAGAATTATGAACATTAAAGGTGATTCTGGTGAGAAATCAAAAAAATAAAAAGGAAGAAGAACTAGAGAAATCATATTTTGCCAGAAGCAGAATACTGCCAGAAATATAGATAGTAAATGTGCTTCTGGTGAGGTTTTCACAAGAAATAATGAACACTGAAGAAAAGACAATCCTTGTTATAAAATGTCAAAAACATTGGCTGAATTATATTAGACTGTTTTGTGGAAAGTTGCTATTATTGTTATTAAGTGATCCATAGCAACCCTGTCTAGGGTTTCTGAGGAGTCACTGGTGAGCTTGAACCGCCTACCATTTGGTTCTACCCGGCTTTGGAGTTCAGCACATTAATCCACAGTGCCAAATAGAACTTGAAGATTTGGAAAATTCTTAGCCTATTCATATAATCAAAAGTGAGAAAGTCTGTTCCAAAGATTACTCCTTTGGAAAGGATGCAAAAATGTGGCCGGTTAACCATTTGCCAAAGAGATTAATTGTGTGACTTTTGGATCCAAACAACCATCTCAGTAGAAACCCTGCATGGAATAAAGTAAGACTGCCATACTGCAGGCAGAAAAACCATCTCTGTAGCTGCTTGGCTGGAAACATATGTCGTTCTTTAAGAAAAGGGAGCAAGGCCACCTTCTAAGTTTTAGTTCCAGAGGTTGTGGAGGGTAGGACTGCCACTTTGGTGGGTCAGTAAAATAGGGCCACTACACTATTAGGCAGGGGGATAGGGCTGTCCTCCAGGGCTACCTTTCTTCCACTGAGACAGGAGGAAAGGGCCAAGACTCAGGGCCTGGAGTGGTAGCAACACCCAGAACTGAGGGGGCAAAGTTGCTGTCCTAATGTGTCCAGAAGACAGAGAAATATTTTCAGGCCTTGAGAGCTAATGGAATTTGTTAGATGGTTATAACAGGGAATAGGGCTAACCACAAAGAATGCAGGAAACATCCTGAACTGTCAGAATAGTGTAGTAAAAGGAAAGATAGAAAAAGAGACTTTTGCCTAAATCAGGCATGCACAGGGACAAACAGGACTGATCTGATATGCCCAAAGAACTAATTATAGTACTACTATAACAAAGCAGCATTATGAATACAATTATAACAGATTGATGGAATGGGAAAGAAGTACATCAAACATTGGAAGAAATGACCAATGAGGAGCCCATATGATGATAGGGAAATGGAGGGATCAGAAGACAACTAACAGGAGATGTAGAGCCCATCCTGAAGGAAAAACAGCATAAAGAGTGAGAGCAGGAATTCACTTTGTGCTCCATTCTCGTCTTTGCGAGAACGTAGATGCTTGTTGTTGTTAAGTGTTGTTGAGTCAGGTCTGACTCATAGGGACCATGTATAGGATTTTCAAGGAGCGCCTGGTGAGTTTGAATCTCTTCACTTGCTTTAAGCTCTACCTTTCTGGCTCCTTTCATGCGCATGTTGTTGTTGTTATCTGCCGTCTAGTTAGTTCCGACCCATAGCGACCCTGTATAAGGTTTCCAAGGAGCAGCTGGTGAGCTTGAACTGCGGACCTTGCGGTGTAAGCCTTGCAGTCCAGCGCATTAACCCACAGTGCCACACCAAGACTCCGTTCTTTGGTGGGTCAGTAGGACCAAACCAGGACAAGTCAGGTCACTCATCAGTGCGGTAACGGAATTTACCCTGATGGGCTTCAGACTGCTTTAGACTTTCCTTTCCCGGCAATTTATTTTCCTCGGAATGGGAATGCTTACTTTATGCTTGGAGTCCTGGTGTGGTGCTGTGGGTTAATGCTCACCAGCGGCTCCTTGAAAACCCTATATAGGGCTTCTGTGGGTTGGAGTCGACTTGACGGTATTTAACAACAACAACAACAACAACACTGAATTTGGAAGCAGATAACTTTATTCTAGATTTCACAAGATCACAGAAAACAATTCTTCCCCAGGACAGACCATACCCAGAATCTCACTCATACTTGATATATATGATTGAAAAGATGAGATTTGGGACTTGGAGTTGATGCTTGAATAGGTTGACACTTTGGGATATGCTGGGACAAAGTGGACTGGTAACCAAAAAATTAGCAGTTAAAACCCACCAGCTGCTCTTGGGAGAAAGTTGAGGCTTTCTGCTCCTGTAGAGATTGACAGTTTTGGAAACAGTCTATAGGGTCCCTAGGAGTCAGAACTAACTTGATGGTAATAAGTTAAGGGATGACGTGCATGTATTTTTCACTTGGGAAAGTCAAGAAATTTAAAGAGCCAGAGAGCAGACTGTTCTGAAAGAATAGGGTCTTTGAAGATGTTATCAGTTTTGCTAATATGAGGCCATTTGGAGTAGGGTGGGTCCTAATTCTATCTGAGTGATGTTCTTACAAGAAACAAATAAGAGACAGAGAGACACACAGAGGAAAGCTGGCCATGTGAAGACACCTACACACCAAGGAATATCTCACACTACCAGAAGCCAGAGAGACAAGAACCTGTCCCTAGAAACTTCTGTGAGAATGCGGTCCTGCTGACAGCCTGGTTTCCAATTAGTAGCCTCCAGAACTGTGAGATAATAAATTTATGATGTTAGGTGTGGCGCTGTAGGATAAGCACTCGACCGCAAGGTCGCTGCTTCAAACTCACCAGCCATCTCCTTTCTAGCACCTTCCCTGACACCCCTAAAAGGAGCTAATCACCCACCTTTATGTTACTGTAGAACTGAACTGATGTTAATGCTCACACACGAAATAACACTGTTGATTTGCATACCTGTCTTTGCAAGTGAATCTCAAATTTTGTTGGTAATAACAAGTTTTATTTACTCTCTAGCCAGTAGCTGACATGCAGAATAAGTAAGGAGCTGAATAAATATATGTATGCATGTGTATGTTGGACTAAATATGTAGAAATCACTCAAAAGGAGCTATAGAAACTCAAGGTTCAATCACGTCTCACTCCGTAGAAAATGAAAATAGGAGATACTAAGACGTGCGTTTTCAAATTTTCAAACTGTACTTTATTTGTTCTGGGGGCTGGCTAGGTCATCTCTATAGCAAGTGGGAACTAATCTAATCTGACATGAGACCTTGTCATTACTCTGGAAGGGTCTTCCTTTCTTGTCCTCTTTTCTCTCCACCTGATCCTCAATGACTAATAGTGAAGCATCCTGTTAAGCTGCCTGCCTCTGGTCTTTTATAACTCTAGTCTATCTAGACTTACTTATGAAACAAACAAACAAAAACAACCCTTTAATTTCTTTCAACAAAATTGATAAAGCTTCTTAATAAGTCCTGGATCAAATACATTTCTAATCTCAATGCCAGCATCTCCATCTTATCTTCCAGTTCTTATTAACATGGGTTCTCTCTTTTTCAATGAGTTGTTGTTGTTGTTAAGTGCCGTCAAATCAATTCTGACCCATAGCGACCCAGTATAGGGTTTCCGAGGAGCAGCTGGTGAGCTTGAACTGCCTACCTTGTAGTTCAAACAGCTTTGCAGTCTGGCACATTAACCCACAGCACCACACCAGGACTCCTTTCAGTGAGCAGTCACTTCATATCATTACTGACTTTGCTAGGCCATCCCCTGCTCAGCCAGCCCACACAGTGGTAATCTCTACAGCTTGTTTATATACTTATTTAAAATCTATTATCTTTCAGGGACCCATTAAATCCTACAACAAAGACTCTTGGTCAACTCTGTTCCAACAACAGGTCCTTCCAGATATATCATAGACCGTAAGGTTCATTACGTCCACCTACATTCATGTTTGTGGTCTCTTGCATTGTCTTCCAACAATCTTCCTAAGCTCTCAAAGAGTAGGGACCATGTTTATAGATGATTTTGGGCATATAGCAAAATAGTCAATAAAACCTGAGTTTCCACTGAAATGGGCATATTCTCACATCTTACCTGAGACCACTCCATAGCAATCCACTTGGGGCAATCAAACAGATTGCAAGTTTGCATAACCTTGGGCTTGGGTGCGTACATGCACTTCCATTCTTCCACTTGTAGTATCTCCCCATGCATGGACTCCTCAACACACACAAAGCTGCGTCTCTGAATGCCTCCTCCACAGGACACCGAACATGCAGTCCAAGGATTATGTTCCCAGCTCAAAACCAAACAAATAGAAACACATTATTCTCTTGTTTGATGCTTGTCAATTTCAAGTATACAAAGATGGCTGTCATAGGCAGAGCCTCAGGACATTGTTATGACTCAGGAGAAAGAGGTCTGTACTTGGAGTCATAAATATTAGTCTTAACTGTCACCCACAATCTGTAGTCACAAGATTAACACAACTCTTCTGAACCTGAGATTTCTCTCCAGTAGGAATGGTTTTCCTACCCTAGCTATCCTTCATAGGGCCATTATGAGAAACAAATCAATTAAAGTACAGAATATGAAAGCACCTTGTAACTATCTCTAAAGTGCAAAGTTCTAAAGGACAATATTACTAGAGAATCAGAGAAACTCAAAGTCATGAAGAGTTAACTAGTCACCTCTGCGGACAGGAGGATTCAAAGTTCTGATCAATTGAAATGCTTGAGCTTCCTCTATCTACTTGGTATACGTGACTTCCAAGATACACGTGACACTCCGGTGAAGGGAGGGACCTCCTTATGATGCAACCTATTCCATCTGAGTCTTAGAAAGATCTTTCTTGTGAAGTCTGGTTTCCTTTAACTTTCTAACGGGGCTACCATGTACCCCTTGGACATTTTAGACCAATGCTACAGATGCTACAGTTCCTTGCAAATTTGTTGTTAGTTGCTGTCAAGTCCATTTTAACTCATGGTAATCTCATGTGGTATACAACAAACTTCCTCCACGGGGTTTTCAAAGCCGTATGACCTTTCAGAAGCAGATTGTCAAACCTGTCTTCCAAGGAGCCTCTTGTTGAGTTCGAATCCCTAACCTTTCAGCTAGTAATTGAACATGTGCTCATTTGCTCCACCCAGGGACTACCTTGCAAACCACTTAGAGTCATTTACACACACACACACACACACACACACACACAAAGAAAGAAAAACATGCGACTCACCGGGGAAGAGGTTGGAAGTGATCATAGGGCATAATCTCTTTAAATCCATCACTACAAATGAAATTATTATAAGAATATCATTTCCAAATCAACCAACCCATTTATTCTTTGATATCCCCAAAGAGTTTTGATATCCCAAGAGAGAATTCTTTTATATTGAAAACTCAGTATCCCAATTATCAGAAACTATTTCTAAAATACCAGCCTGCATCCCAATTCTATGGGAAAACACAGAAAATGTAACAACTGGTATTTATCAGTCAAAGAAAAACAGGTTTCTTAATTTCGATAAATTTATTTATGGCTATTAGTCATCTAAAATGTTATTCTGATGAAATATATAAATTATATATTAATGCATTGTCATATTAGCAAATATTCAGAAAACCACTTTATTTCAGAAAATTTGTCCTTCTGAAAGGTCCAAATTAACAATTACATTCAACCAGGATTACAGGAAATGAACAGTTTAGTGATAGGAAATTAAATCCTCTGAGAACGCTTCCTTTCCCACTTGCGTATCTCTGCCTTAGCCAGCTGGCAGATACGTGGGGGATTCTGGGACTTGAGATTGTGATGTTATTTTAAGATATTGTAGTAAAGCCAGGAAACTTCCCCAGGCAATCCAAGTCAGCAGGTACTAAATTATGCAACAGAATAATTTATGCATAGCTTTTCTGCTTTGGCATGAAAACTTTCTACTTCCTTGCACAATGTATTATTTATACGGAATTTAATATGAACACTTCAAAAGTCAAAATGCAGTAATGGGTGACCCAGTTTAAAAGCTAAAATGACGGGTTAAGGATATTTATGACTGTCAAATGGACTCACGATGTAGTTGTTTGAAGAGCCACAGAAGGAAAGGCTCAAAGGGGGCTTAAACACCCACAGCACACAGCCCAGTACAAGACAGAGTCTATCTGTGAGTCACCTAAGGGCAAATGTCCCCTAGTTCTTATTGCTGACCCAGTTATAAATGCAGATGCAGACCCCCACCATCCGGGTGTATGCTCAGTTAGGAAATGGAATCTGTGTTGTCCTACAAGGATGGAGCAGTCTGCTCCGCCTTTGACTTCTTTCTTTCTAGAGTAAAGTGGCTACAGGCAATCATTCAAACCTGGATGGGCAAGGATCCATGCTGCATTCCTTCAGTTTGGGTTTTGGTTTTACGTTTTCAGGGTAGTAATGACAATAATGGTCAGGAACCACCCTTTTCAAGCGAGTATCCACACACTCAGCAGAATTGAGCTGATAACCTAAAAGGGCAGAAAGGAAAGTCTGAACACTGCATTTGTTTTGTGTTTGCTTGGCAAAGCTATCACTTGCCACAAATGGTCTTCACATCCACTCCCTCACCCGTCTTTAAGCAATTCTCAACTTTGGCTGTATAATAGAACCATAGGGTCAGTGTTTAATAAATAGCCCAAAGCCCAGGCACCTTTACAGACCAATTAAGTCAAAAGCTCTGTGGTTGGGGTCTAGGAAGTTACCAGTTAAAAAAATAAATTCCAGGTGATTCTAAGGTGATTGAAATGCGTGGCTGAGACTGAAAACCACTACTTGAATTGATCATGGAAGAGGTAACCTTAGCATTTATAAGTTAAATTGTAACAGGAATACCAGATAGCACTGAGTGGATGTGACACATGGCAACTCCGTGTGTTTGAGAGTTAGAACTGAGCTCCAAGAGTTTGTTAACTGACTTTTCAAAAGTAAGTCACCAGGTGTGTCTGGGTGAACTTGAACCTTCTGACTTTCTGTTTGCAGCCAAGTGTGTTATACAAATATAAATGGACTCATTTTCAAAATGCTTGGCCTTAGAGGCAGAAGTTTGTCATTCTCTTCCATTATTAACACATAGTCATGGTGATACTGCACAGGCTTTATTAATAATTCCTCCTCTTTTCCACCATCACTCCTATCCCACCTCCAAGAGGCACCCATTCCAATTTTGCATTCTTAAATGCACACATATTTTATGTACTAATTTTTGTGTGTATCTGCTTTTGATTTACTACCACTAAATACTGTGTTTTAAATCTTATCCTGTATTCTACTTTTCTCACTTAAAATTAGGGTTTTGAAATCTACCCATGAGACTGGGTTGTTGCTTATTGTAATGCATAATATTCTGTTGCTTGTATATACCACATTTTACGCATTAATTGTCTTGGAGTACTTAGGGCATCTCCAGAGCCAATAAACTTTCTTACTGAGGAATTAAGCATTGTCTATATAGGAAGACAGGAGCCCTGGTGGCACAGTGGCTAAGTGCCTTGAAAGGTTAGTGGTTTGAACCCACAAGCTGCTCAGTGACAGAAGGATGTGGAAATCTTTAAAGGTTACAGCTTTGGAAAATACATGGGGCTGTTCTTCTGTTCTATAGGCTCCTGTGAGTTATAATCAACTAATCATCAGTGGGTTTATATGGGAGGGAACCAAATCTACTTTCCTCCTAATCCATAGGAAGGAATCAAGACTTATTCCTGATTCTATTAAATTCAATTTGTACAGAATAGACACTCTGAGAAGAGTGTGTATTTCATAGAGATAAGTACCATAGATCTAAAATCAGCTTACAGAGTGATACTTATACTTCCTGAAAGGTCTGACTCCAGGCTTCTTGTCCTTGCACAAGTGCCATGTTAAATTAAACATTAAAGAAAGGTAATTTTTCCCAAAAACAGAATGAGCTCTTAAAAAAAGAAAAAATTGGTCTAAAGGTCTAAAATCTATACATTGAAAGGCCTGATTGCTAAGAGGAAGCTGATTTTCTGAACCACTAGGGCAGTTCTGTACAAGACATGGCTGGGATGTAAACTGAGTGTCAGAAGACATGCTGGTATGCATTACAAAAAGCAAGGTCGAAACCACAAGAATGAAAATCCAAATGGAATCAATAAAATGTGCCTCTGGTGCCAATATCTGCCGGAAAGTCTACAGTATCAGATGGCTGTGGCAATTCCCACATTTTCTCCAGACTGGTCTCAAGTGTCCCACACAGAGGAGGACAGACAAGCCCACTGAAGTCCACCCAAATACCCGAGGTACCTGAGAGAACGAATTTTCCTGATCATCCCAAAGACTCCAAAATTTGCCACTTACACAAATCATGTAGATTTGATTACTAATGTAATTACATTTTGGTCATGCATTCCTTGTGGGTTTTATGTGTGTGCTTTCATCCCCCCATTTTACCACCCCCCTCCCGATACCAAACAAGTACAGAATGAGATTATAGTTTCTTGAGTCAGAGAAAATGTTTGTTTAAATGGAAACATACTTCTAGAAGGAGGACACAGAGAGTACCCAGGTGTTTATAATTTGGGGACAATTATTTTTTTCCTCTTGATGTTATGACAATTTAGAGATAATTAAAAGTGAAAGAAAATAAGGCAGAGTCACTCTTGTAAAGGAGACCTGGTGGCACAGTGATTGAGCACTGGACTGCTAACCAAAAAGTCAGAAGGTTGAACCCACCAGCCACTCCCCAGGAGGAAGATGTGGCAGTCTGTTTCCATTAAGATTTACAACCTTGGAAACCCGATGGGGCAATGGGCTCGCTATCAGTCAGGATCGGGTTTGGGTGCCTCTCCATGCCTTATATATTTATAAATGCTATGCAATTGTGCAGAAAGTGGCAGAACACGGAGGTAGCCCCAAAGCAGCATGAGGTATCTGTGTGTTCACAGATAGCTTTGGGGGACGATCACAGTGCTAGGGTTTCTCAGGCACATTTGTGGTTCCGGAACTGACTGCATCTTTCCTCAGACACCCAATAGTGAGACACTCCTTTCAGGAATTAAATCAAATGAACTAAGCTGCATTTTACACTACAATACCCATCCCAAAGCAGAGTTTCTTTTTCATCTTGTTTCCACATGGGAAGCTCTCTCTGAATTACTATGTGTGAATGCTAGAGAATAAAGCAAGAAGAAGGAGATGGTTACTTTTGAGAGTTCTATGTGTAAAAATAAAAATCTCTGCCATCCTTTTGCTTCCAGTTGGGGGTACATGAGTAGATTCTCATTTTTCCTGCAGCCACAGCCCACCTGACTCAAGGTGGTTGGATTCTACTTCTGAATATAAAATCCGAGCATGTGTGCAGGTCCCACTCACTGTGAAAGGTTTCCACTGGCCAGTGAGTCATGCACACACCTCCTAACTTGTCCCCAGAAGTGAGACTGCTAGGAGTGGGCACAGCCAAAGACCTGTGCACTCTGAAGGTCTGAGACCTTCAGAGAGTGGAGATCTGAGACCCTCAGAGAGTGGAGATCAGAGGTCCTCAGACAGTGGAGATCTGAGACCCTCAGAGAGTG